GGGGGGGGGGGGGGGGAAATAAAAACCAAACACCCACCACCCCACCCATGCTGCCAATCCTCAACAGAAATGCTCACAACAATGAAAACCTTGGGACAGGAGGAAGAGCGCCACCGGGTGGGCAGGCAGGTGTCTTGCTCAGCTGTGGCTTGGGGGGCACTTTTTTCAGTGCCATTGTAACTTCAAACAGTCACTAAGCGAACTGTTGTAAGTCGAGGACTACCTGTACTTTATCAAGTTTTTGACACCTTGCTAGGCGACTGGTGGTACTCGGATGTTGCCATATCCTAAAAGTGGTACAGTGGCTGAAAAAGTTGAAAAGCCCTGGTCTATGGGACTCATGTGGTTTCTTCCCACGCTATCTTCTTTTTTTTTTTTCCTATTTCAACATACGATGTTCTTTCCAATTCTTATGCTTACCTATTATTGGATGCCTTATTTCCCTACGGTAATGGGGCAGGATACGTTCTTTTTTTCCTTTTCTTTTTTTTTTAGAAACGTTTTATTGATTTTTTTTTACAGTAACAATCCTTAGTGACTAGTGTACAGTGTGTTGTCTTGGTTCATATATTTTGAAAAAACAATCAATAGTAGTTAATTAAGAGTCAATAATAATTAATTTTTGTAATTCCATAATTAGTATATTCATTAATGGTGTATTTCTTTGACCTTCCCTTCTCCCAATAATATTTTCCTCCTTCAACCTTAAACAAATATGTTCTGAATATTGTCAGTGCATAAATGGTTAAATATAAGCATTTTTTTTCATGTCCAGGTATGACATTTTTTTCTTATCAACTTGTGTTATTTTTTCTAAAAATCATCTTATTAACTCACCATATATCCTATTCTCATTGTTCTGATTTAAACTTAATTTGCCCTTAATATTCAAACAATTCTTATCAGTCATAATTTGCTCAATATATCTAAATCCAGGTTTTCCATTTAGATGCACCGTCCCAATGTTTTCATATTTCATGCGTTATAAAAATACTATACTGCTTATCTATCTTACGACATCTACCCGTAACATCTTCTCTGATCAGTTTATATTTCACTTACATTTGTAAAAGTTAATTTGTTAAATCGCTATATATCTTTTATACATTCTTCTTTACCAATCCATTTTTTCTCTGAACTTTCTTTGTTGTGCAAAAAGCAAACACAATCTCTTTGCTCCCGGTTTTCTCTCTGTTGCAGAGAGCGAATCCTTTTTATTGAAATGTTTCCAATAAATTGTCTTAAAATGATATTCCAACCTCAGTATGCTTAATTGGAGCCTAATATGCCAAGACAGAGCCTAACGCCAGATTGGACTATTAATACCCTTTCCGTTACACAGTGATAAAATAAACCAATGCAGTTAGTCCTCTACTTACGACAGTTCATTTAGTGACAGTTTGAAGTTACAACAGCATTGAAAAAAATGAGTTACGATCGTTTTTCACACTTACGACCCTCGCAACGTCCTCAGGGTCACGTGATCCAAATTCAGACGCTTGGCAACTGACTCATATTTATGACGGTTGCAGCATCCCCAGGGTCATGTGATCCACCTTCTGCGACCTTCTGACAAGCAAAGTCAATGGGGGAAGCCAGATTCACTTCACAACCGGGTTACTAACTTAACAACTGCAGTGATTCGCTTAACAACTGTGGCAAGAAAAGTCATCAAAGGGGGCAAAATTCACCTAACGGCTGTCTCGTTCAACAACAGAAATTTTTGGGCTCAGTTGTCGTCATAAGTCGAGGACTGTCTTCCCTTCAAAAGTAGCAAGTTCTTGGCTCTGGTGGAAATAACAGTTCTAGCTTTCCCCAAGTGCAGACCTGCCCCCGGGAACAGCTGGCGCTCTCAAAGAATGAGACGTATTCTTGACTTGGGCTTATCTCTGCAGGGGGACGAGGAAACCTAGTATCAGATGATGGTTGGAACACCGTTCCCATCACCAAGGGCAACCGACCCCTTGACCCCAGCAGGTTAACCAAGATCACTAAGGTGAGTTGCTGACTGGTTTTGGGTACTAGTAAAATTGGGGTTGGAGGGGCGGTGTCTTCTTTATCTGGATGATGGAAGATAAAATCCACAGATCCTGATTTTTGATAGCCTTTAGTTAACATGCTCTAGTTTTTTTTTATTTTTAAAGGGTCAAGGTTCAAAATTTGTTTTTTATTATGTTATAATAATCTTTATAAAGGTATCCGGCCTGTCCTTCAAATAAAACTGCACGAATGTGTTAAGTAAATAAGTTAAATTTGTTAAGTAAATAAGACCTTCATCTGAGAGGTCTATGGAGATTCTCAGTCATCCAGGTCATGGTTGTCCCAAAGATGCTTTTTCAAGAGGCAACTGGACTTTCTTGTTATTCTTTGAAAGTCTTCCGCTTCTCATCCCAGAAGCTTCTTCAGCTTTGGATGGCGGGGAATGGAAGGATTTATACTCCTTGCAGACAGCTGGTCATTTGCCTTCTTTTAGAGAGTCGTTGAGGCCACTTGGAGGTTTATTTGTGTCCTCAGGGTCACCTGAGCGGTGCAAATGGGTGTGGAGTCTTAAGCCGAAAGCACAGCTCCACACCCACTTGCACTATATAGCTGGCCCTGAGGACACAGATAAACATCCAAGTAGCCTCAACGACTCTCTAAAAGAATGCAAATGACCAGCTGTCTGCAAGGAGTATAAATCCTTCCATTCCCCACCACCCAGTCAGCTGAAGAAGCTTCTTGGATGAGAAGCGAAACGTCTTCAAAGAATTACAAAACAGTCCAGTTGCCTCTTGGAAAAAGCATCTTTGGGACTTTGCCTGGGATGAACGAGGGCACCGAATAGCACTTTGAATTGCCATAAGTGTGTCTTTGCATTATATGTGACAGATTTTGTACTGCTTTAGATGTTTATTGAAGACGTNTCCTCGTATTCTAGAACAGTGGTTCTCAACCTGTGGGTCGGGACCCCATTTGGGGTCGATCGACCATTTCACGGGGGTCGCCAAGCAAGGCTGTCCGCCATTTTTTTTGTCCTTTTTTTTTTTGCCCACCATTTTCCCCCCTTTTCCGGCGGGTGCCTTACCTCCCTTGGGCTGGGCCAGCTGGTGGTCGGCCTGCTCCATCTCTGCCGCTTGCCAGCTACGTCTCGGCCGGCGCAGGGGGCGGAACCACGCATGCGCGGCGCTCCCGGGCAGGGAAAGTCCTCGACTTACGACCGGTTGGGTAGTCCTCGACTTACGACCGGTTTAGTCCTCGACTTACGACCGGTTGGGGTCGCGGCATTAAAAAGGTTGAGAACCACTGTTCTAGAAGTACAGACCCTTGCTGAATGACTACAGGTGGGGCTGGCCACCCCATTGCTAAGCAGAAAAACCACATGACCGTGAATGGGCTTAACAACCGCACTTCCCCTTCGGTCGCTAACCAAGTCATTGTGGTTGTTAAAGCGAAACATCACAGGACGCTGACTTAACGATGGTGCCTCCGACGCCTCCATTAACTCGGCTGCAAGCCAGCTGCAAATGCATCTTTGAAATGGTTTGAGAGCGCCAGACGGCAGTCGTGTGACTGCTGGATGCGGCCACCGAGGCGGCGACAATGTGTGTCGCTGGTTGCAAAACACCTGAACGGCAATCGTGTAACTGCGGGATATTGTAATGGCCGTAAAGATGAGGATTAGTTGCGAAGCTCTCTGTTATTTTTTTACACCGTCGTAATTTTGAACCGTTTGCTAAATGAGGCAGTCGTTAAGCGGGGACTCGGCAGCAAAAAAACCCCCTTATTTGATAACGCGGTGGAAGAGGAGAATTCTAAACAAATATTGGCAATTGGGGTGATTTTGAAAGCAACACCAAATCAGCGCAGAACAACATTGCAGCCTCAGTGTGATCAACAGTCTGGGTCAGTAGCACTGCTGTAAGATGGTGCTCCCAAGTTTTAAAACAGGAGTGTCCAACCTTGGGAACTTTTAAGACTTGTGGACTTCAACTCCCAGAATTCCCCAGCCAGCATGAAGTCCGCAAGTCTTAAAAGTTCCCAAGGTTGGACACTCCTGATCTAGCACAGACCCACAGAAAAGTGCAAAGATCAGGGTGGGAGTATGAGGGCACCGGGCAGCGACTTGGCCACCCTTGGGCCAAAATTAAAATTCTTTGGGGCAAAGAAGTGGGATAGAGAAGGGAGACCTCTGGCTAGGAAGGTCTGTCCTAAGCCATCTTGACCCAAAGAGGCCTAGATACTTGTTGGAAATTGTCCTTCCGATGCTGGCTGGGGGATTCTGGGAATTGGAAGTCCACAAAAGTCTTAAAGGCGCCCAGGTTGGGCACCCCTGTTTTAAAGTCTCCCTGCTGTAAAGAATTGAAGTGCAGTTGATACTGGAAGGGAGAAGGTCCGCCATTGTTGCCTTCAAGCCGCCGAGCGATCTGCCTGCGGTAATGCCTCTCCCTGCTTCCCCTTATGCGTTTTGCAGAACAGCTGGGTGCCAAGGAGAGGGGATCAGGGTCCGAAGACCATTGACCAGATTCACAAGGAAGCCGAGATGGAGGAACACCGGGAGCACATTAAAGTGCAACAGCTGATGTCCAAGCAAGACAAGAGGAGAGGGCCTCCAGGCCCATCGTCCACAGGTGAGGCGGAAACCAAGAGAAATAGAGGTCGTCTCGATGTCTTCTGCACCCGTTGTAACTTTGAACGGTCACTAAATGAACTGTCGTACGTCGGGGATTGCCTCCATTGTTTTGTATGCGCTGTTTCAACGGAAGGCAGCTGCATCTTTTTACAACGAGTCTATGGCAGGGCTTTTCCACCAGTGGTACGGGTACCACCTGTGGTACATGGGCACCTGGCAGGTGGTACGCGACCATCCTAGAAAAGTAGTGGGGGAGGGGAATGAGCTGAACCGGTGGCAGCACCGCACAAGCCTGAGCGAGAGACGGCTGGAGCTGCAGGGCTGTCAGGGCTCAGTGGAAGTGTCAGGATCAGCGCCAGGATCCAGCTGGAGCTCTGCACTGATCCTGGCGCTTCTGCTGAGCCCAGAAGAAGCGCCGATCAGCTGGAACGTTGCAGCATCTCCAGGGTCTTGTGATTTACATTCAGAGGCTTGGCAACCGATTCATATTTATGACGGTCACAGTGTCCCAGGCTCATGTGAAGTGACCAAAACCTGCTGCAACAACCCAGCAGACGGGGGGGGGGGGGGATAAAAACCAAACACCCCCCACCCCACCCATGCTGCCAATCCTCAACAGAAATGCTCACAACAATGAAAACCTCGGGACAGGAGGAAGAGCGCCACCGGGTGGGCAGGCAGGTGTCTTGCTCGGCTGTGGCTTGGGGGGCACTTTTTTCAGTGCCATTGTAACTTCTAAGAGTCACTAAGCGAACTGTTGTAAGTCGAGGGCTACTTGTACTTTATCAAATTTTTGACACCTTGCTAGGCGACTGGTGGTACTTGGATGTTGCCATATCCTAAAAGTGGTACAATGGCTGAAAAAGTTGAAGAGCCCTGGTCTCTGGGACTCATGTGGTTTCTTCCCAAGCTATCTTCTTTTTTTTTTTTTTTTCCTATTTCAACATACGATGTTCTTTCCAATTCTTATGCTTACCTATTAGTGGATGCCTTATTTCCCTAAGGTAATGGGGCGGGATACGTTCTTTTTTTTTTTCCTTTTCTTTTTTTAAGAAACGTTTTATTGATTTTCTTACAGTAACAATCCTTAGTGCCTAGTGTACAGCGTGTTGTCTTGGTTCATATATTTTGAAAAAACAATCAATAGTAGTTAATTAAGAGTCAATAATAATTAATTTTTGTAATTCCATAATTAGTATATTCATTAATGGTATATTTCTTTGATCTTCCCTTCTCCCAATAATATTCTCCTTCTTCAACCTTAAACAAATATGTTCTGAATATTTTCAATGCATAAATGGTTAAATATAAACATTTTTTTTCATGTCCAGGTATGACATTTTTTTCTTATCAACTTGTGTTATTTTTCTAAAAATCATCTTATTAATTCACCATATATCCTATTCTCATCGTTCTGATTTAAACTTAATTTCCCCTTAATATTCAAACAATTCTTATCAGTCATAATTTGGTCAATATGAATCATCTAAATATCCAGGTTTTCCATCTAGATCAGTGGTTCTCAACCTGTGGGTCGGGACCCCATTTGGGGTCAATTGACCATTTCATGGGGGTCGCCAAGCAAGGCTGTCTGCCATTTTTTTTGTCCGCCATTTTTTTTGTCCGCCATTTTTTTCCCCTTTTCCGGCAGGTGCCTTACCTCCCTTGGGCTGGGCCAGCTGGTGGTCGGCCTGCTCCGTCTCTGCTGCTTGCCAGCTACGCCTCGGCTGGCGCAGGGGGCGGAACCATGCATGTGCGGCGCTCCCGGGCAGGGAACGTCCTCGACTTACAACCGGTTGGGTAGTCCTCAACTTATGACCGGTTTAGTCCTCAACTTATGACCGGTTTAGTCCTCGACTTATGACCGGTTTAGTCCTCAACTTACGACCAGTTTAGTCCTCGACTTACGACCGGTTTAGTCCTCGGCTTACGACTGGTTGGGGTCGCGGCATTAAAAAGGTTGAGAACCACTGATCTAGATGCACCGTCCCAATGTTTTCATATTTCATGCGTTATAAAAATACTATACTGCTTATCAATCTTACCATATCTACCCGTAACATCTTCTCTGATCAGTTTATATTTCACTTACATTTGTAAAAGTTAATTTGTTAAATCGCTATATATCTTTTATACGTTCTTCTTTACCAATCCATTTTTTCTTTGAACTTTCTTTGTTGTGCAAAAAGCAAACGCAGGCCCTTTGCTCTCGGTTTTCTCTCTGTTGCAGAGAGTGAATCCTTTTTATTGAAATTGTCTTAAAATGATATTCCAACCTCAGTATGCTTAATTGGAGCCTAATACACCAAGACAGAGCCTAACGCCAAATTGGACTATTAATACCATTTCCGTTACACAGTGATAAAATAAACCATTGCAGTTAATCCTCGACTTACGACAGTTTATTTAGCGACCATTCGAAGTTACAACAGCACTGAAAAAAATGAGCTACAATCGTTTTTCACACTTACGACCCTCGCAGCATCCTCAGGGTCACGCGATCCACCATCCGCGACCTTCTGACAAGCAAAGTCAATGGGGGAAGCCAGATTCACTTCACAACCGTGATACTAACTTAACAACTGCAGGGATTCGCTTAACAACTGTGGCAAGAAAGGTCGTCAAAGGGGGCAAAATTCACCTAACGGCTGTCTCGCTCAGCAACAGAAATTTTGGGGCTCAGTTGTGGTCATAAGTCAAGGACTGTCTGTCCTCCCAAAGTAGCAAATTCTTGGCTTATTGGTGGAAATAACAGTTCTAGCTTTCCCCAAGTGCAGACCTGCCCCCGGGAACAGCTGGCGCTCTCAAAGAATGAGACGTATTCTTGACTTGGGCTTATCTCTGCAGGGGGACGAGGAAACCTAGTATCAGATGATGGTTGGAATACCGTTCCCATCACCAAGGGCAACCGACCCCTTGACCCCAGCAGGTTAACCAAGATCACTAAGGTGAGTTGCTGACTGGTTTGGGGTACTAGTAAAATTGGGGTTGGGGGCGAGCGGTGTCTTCTTTTTCTGGATGATGGAAGATAAAATCCACAGGTCCTGATTTTTGATAGCCTTTAGTTAACATGCTCTAGTTATTTTTTATTTTTAAAGGGTCAAGGCTCAAAATTTGTGGTTTATTATGTTATACAGTAGTGGCCAAAATTGTGGAAATCTTTTGGGAAAAGTGTACAGTAGAAATGCCACCTTTGGCTAAGTTTCCACCCATTTTTCTTCTAATTTCTTTATCACTGTAGCCTTGTTCCACTTAATAATACTATTTTACAACGCTTTCTGGGTGACCAGTCAACTCTTTGCACCATTCCTTTAATTTTATTACGTTTTACAAGCTCACTAAATGAAAGAGCACAAAAAAACCCCAACCAACTTGATAGCGATCACATCACACACTGACCAATGTCCTCCTCTCAGCTTCAATACATGACATCAATCACTGAATCCTCCTGTGATCTAATTGGCCCATTGCCAAAACAAGATGACACCCGATTGGCTCTCTAAACACTCATGCTCATTGGCTACAATCAGACGAAGGAAAGCTACCTGATATCAACCTAAGCAAGTTGTGCTTCCTTTTTCTGGTTATTTGGCTATAACGTTTCATAGAATACAGTACAGATAATTGAACAAGCTATGTTGCATTACATTCGTGATTAAATTATCTTTCCATTGATATATAATGTTATGGTACTACTCCCAAAAAAGAAAAGTTGTGTTATTAGCCATCAAACCTCAAAAATATACTTTCCCCAAAAGGTTTCCACAATTCTGGCCACTACTGTAATAATCTTTATAAGCGTATCCGGCCTGTCTTTCAAATAAAAGTGCACGAATGTGTTAAGTAAATAAGTTAAATTTGTTAAGTAAATAAGACCTTCATCTGAGAGGTCTATGGAGATTCTCAGTCATCCAGGTCATGGTTGTCCCAAAGATGCTTTTTCAAGAGGCAACTGGACTTTCTTGTTATTCTTTGAAAGTCTTCCGCTTCTCATCCCAGAAGCTTCTTCAGCTTTGACTGGATGGCGGGGAATGAAAGGATTTATACTCCTTGCAGACAGCTGGTCATTTGCCTTCTTTTAGAGAGTCGTTGAGGCCACTTGGAGGTTTATTTGTGTCCTCAGGGTCACCTGAGCGGTGCAAATGGGTGTGGAGCCTTAAGTTAAGCCGAAAGCACAGCTCCACATCCACTTGCACTATATAGCTGGCCCTGAGGACACAGATAAACATCCAAGTAGCCTCAACGACTCTCTAAAAGAATGCAAATGACCAGCTGTCTGCAAGGAGTATAAATCCTTCCATTCCCCACCACCCAGTCAGTCGACTTCTTCGAAGAACCTACTCTTCGCTTTGCAGAAGTTTCTTAATGTTTTGTCAGGTCAACGGAGAACCTTTTTCGTAGAAACCCTGAAACGGACCCTACTTGCTCCCGTGGCTTATCGTGAAACTTAACGGTATTCACACAGAAACGTAATATACACTGTCTAAAACATGACGAAATCTACAAATAACTTCTGCATAGGCGTTTGCCTGCGAGGTGGAGGCAGAACAATTAAGGTGGCAGAAAAGCATGCCTGATAAATAGTAAGCCGACGAACGGCGTCTGTTTGTCTTTCTCCTTCCGACAGCCTAGTTCTATTGACACTAACAGTCAGCTCTTTGCACCTGGCGGGCGGCTGAGCTGGGGCAAAGGCAGCAGCGGCGGTTCGGGTGCCAAACCTGCTGAACCGGGTAAGGTAGCAAACCAGCGTGGCGAAATGGGTGGTGATGCCCTGGAGTTTCCGTACTCGTCCAACCTGCCATTTTCCTTCCAGCAGCTGCTGACACCAACCGTCCGGCCACGAGTACTTTGAATCGTTTTTCAGCCTTACAACAGTCGGCTCCTGCAGAGAGCCAAGATGTTCGGCGCGTGGTGCAAAGGTGGGTCGCCTTCTCTACGCGTCTGTTGGCAAAGGGTTTCCTCTTGTGTTTGGGGCTTGCTTAGAGAAGCGTGGAAGGGCCTATCCTCGGTCTTGAGAAGCGTGGAAGGGCCTATCCTGGGTCTCAGGACCCTTGGTAACTGTGGCTGCTTCTCTGGACTACGTGAGCTGGTGGGTTGAAGGGGTGTGGGCTACACACGGGGCTGTGCTCACACAACACCCTTAACCCAACGACCGAATTAACCCATTAACCATACATTAAAACCTGACCTTGTCAAAAGGGGCTAGGTTTATACACCAAGCTACACAATCTAGCACCCACCCCACTCTACATCTTAAGAAGACAGAACTCTTGGAATATCTCTTCCAACAGGCATCTTTATTAAGAGAAGATGGTTGCAGGCGTTCTAGACAGGATGTGGGGCCCAACCCCTACCATTCAAGGTTTTAAGTGTTCCCAAGCAGCCCCCCCACCCCACCGTCCTTCCAGCGACCATCCCAGGCGTCACATTTCCACCCCCTTTTCCTCTCGGCAGAAGGGAGACTTCAGAGAGTAGTAGATGAAAGCTGATGGGCCATATTGTTATGGTCAGTCCTCTTGGTGAGATCCACATTCAGTCCCTTTGAAGTTTTAATGAAGGAAGTGAGAGCCATAAAACCCCTTTGCTCATCCCCCTTCCTCTTCGTAGTATGACAGAATCCAGAGAGGGCAGAAATGGGGTTTTCCATAGTCGATAACTAGAAATGAAATATAATTGGATTCTGACACTAGCCAAGGTGGAAACAGGTAGTCCACGACTTACAACAGTTCATTGCGTGACCGAAGTTACAATGGAACTGAAAAAAGGTGACTTATCACCATTTTTCACACTGACAAACATTGGGGCATCCTCTTGGTCACATGATGAAAATTCAGACGTTTGGCAACTGACTCATATTTATGACAGTTGTAGTGTTCTGGGATCACGTGATCCCCTTTTGCAACCTTCTGATAAGTAAAGTCAAGGGGGAACTCAGATTCCCTTCACAACCACGGTACTAACTGAACGGGTGCAGTGATTCACTTAACAACTGTGGCAAGAACGGTCGTAAAATGGGGCAAGACTCGTTTTAACAAAGGTCTCACTTAGCAACAGAAATGGGCTCAGTTGTGGACTTAAGTCAAGGACTACCTCTACAGAAAGACACAAAGAGCAATTCAGACCTTAAATCTTGCGCGCACGAGCCACAGATACACAATCACATTTTTAAAATGCATCACATTTCCCCCCACTGACGTGCGGTTGAAAACATAACATACAATAAAGAGTACTTAATCCCACACACTCTCTTTTTACGACCCTGTAATGCCACAAGCACCCAGGCACAATTGTCATCCACAGCTGGTGTTGATTAATACTGGCGGTCATAATAGGGTGTGTCGGCCAAGCCAACGATTACCGTCAGATTCCAAGTTGCTTGCAAATATTGGTCAAAACAATCATGGCTTGATACTATCGGGAATGAATGGTGCAATTTAAATGCTGCTTAGTTCATGGATCCAACTTGCAAAATATATTGGGTTCTAACAGAATTGGAAATCCAAGCTAACTTCCACATGGAATATTTGCATTTCGTCTGCTTGGTGTGAAGGGAGTTTTGCTAAAACTCTGGCTTTCTCCATGCAGTTTAAAACCGTAGTTTGTGACGGTCTTTTCGTTCCCTTGGGAAATGATAGATGTATCGTTCACATCCGTGTGTGTTTGTATGATATCACACGTATCATAACTTCATTTTGACTGAAGAAGTTAGTTCAGAGGTAGGCAACCTTGGCTCTTTTATGACTCATGGACTTCAACTCCCAGAATTCCTGAGCCAGCCATGCTGAGGGGAAAGGGAGAGGTTTCCAAGCTGAGCCATACTGGCTCAGGAATTCTGGGAGTTGAAGTCCACAAGTCATGAAGGGGCCATAGTTCCCCCATGCTGGCTCAGGAATTCTGGGAGTTGAAGTCCACGAGTCATGAAGGGGGCCATAGTTCCCTCATACTGGCTCAGGAATTCTGGGAGTTGAAGTCCACCAGTCATAAAGGGGGCATAGTTCCCCCATGCTGGCTCAGGAATTCTGGGAGTTGAAGTCCACGAGTCATAAAAGAGCCAAGGTTGCCTACCCCTGAGTTAATTGGATGAGTAACGAAACACCTCAGTTTAATAAACTTTGTTCCAGTCACCATGATTTAATCTTTTTGGATACTTTTGGCCTGGATGATTGAATCTTCATTGACATATTGCATTTAGAACAGAATAGAATAACAAGAGTTGGAAGGGACCTTGGAGGTCTTCTAGTCCAACTCCCCGCTTAGGCAGAAAACCCTACGCCATTTCAGACATTTCATTTTGGGGAGACGCCCTTGCAGTCCGTATGGCAAGAGTTAGTAAATTCCAACGACTCCCTGACTCTGCCTAACCAAAGATTTTCATTTTGACTGAACGAGTTTACTTGGATGAGTAACGAAACACCTCAGCTTAATAAAGTTTGCTCCAGTTGCCATGATCTCACCTTTTTAGATACTTGCGAAATGATGATGTCTCTGTTCCAGATTTGAGATTGCCTTGGCGTTTTGTTTAACTCTTGCCCCTTCCGTTGTGTACCACTTAATGCAACGGGAGCATTCAAGGATGGGTGAGCCTTACGAGGCTACCCTTTTTCCCTCCGTGGGAGATAATTTCTGGATTCTTCTGCAAGATGCTGGAAAGGGTGCCCTTGCCTAAGGGAGGCACTTTTGGGTGCTGTATTTGCAGAGGTAGCAGCAGCCGCGACCGCTCCGAAAAAGGCAACGAGCGGAGCGAGCGCTTGGAGCGGGCCGAGCGAGGCGACCGCGTGGAGCGAAGCGAGAGGGTAGAGCGGGTGGAGAGGAACCGAACCCCGGTCACCAAGCGCAGCTTCAGCAAAGAAATGGAGGACCGGAGCCGGGAGCGCGAACGGGAGCGGCAAGGGGTCCTGGAAACGGTGCGCAAAGTGGCTAGCATGACAGAGGAACGGGACCGAAGCAGAGAACCTGGTGAGTTGGGAGTACTAGGGTGTGTGTGCAAATAAGAAATGAAACAGGGACCGGATTCTGTCTCTTCCCTCCCCATCCCAATTCCAGGCCAGAAGGAACTCTGATTTTATTTTCTATTGTCTTCCTTTTTTTTTTCATTTCGAAATTTTATTAGTTGATCCAAATATAATGTAAGATACAAAATTACAAAAGGAAATAATAGGAAAACAAGGGAGGGAAACAGGAAGAAGAAAAAAAGTGTAGGGCACGGGGGGGGGAGGAGGAAAAGGTATTGACTACTACTACTTTTGGTGCAGTAGAATGAGGTAATAGCATAAAACCTCGGCTTTTTATTTTTATGTAATAATATATACCAGTGTCAACGCTGCAAATACTGTATATTCTTGCTTTGACAATATGCAGAGCTGTCTGGCATTTTTATAGTTAAACCAGGCAGAAGGGGAAAAGAAACCTGATGTAAATCACATCTTCCAAGTTGATTGGAAGATGTGAACCATGACCCCAAAAAAGGGTGGGAGGGAAATGTTTAGAATTACATGCATAGCGGAAAAGGAACCAGTCCTAAGCATTCCACCATGCCGTGCTGATGTACTAATCTTAAATAAATGCTTTTAGGAGAAAAAATGCCTGAAAGTCCTTTTAAGTGTTTCGTTACTCAGACACATGACAACCAGCCATTTCTATAACAACAAACCTATGTAATCAGCAAAAACCCAAACCAGACTTTCATTTTTTTTCACCCCCTCAAGCACAAAATCCAAAAGCGGATTCCAAATAGAAACAAAATTGTTTTCTTTAATGAAAGCAGTCAACTTAGCCATCTCGGCTAGCTCCATTAACTTTAGCAGCCATTCATCCGTTGTGGGAATCAAAGCGTCCTTCCATTTGTATGCATACAGTAATCTTGCTTCCATCAACATATTATAGCATCAAAGTCCCAAATTTTCTTTCAAGTCATTATCCGTTAAACCCAAAAGAAAAGTCTCTGGTTTTATCTTTACACTCACCTTGAGAATAGCAATAGCACATAGATTTAAATACCGCTGTTCAGGGCTGTACAGCCCTCTCTAAGCGGTTTACAGAGTCAGCATATTGACCCCCCCCCCAACAATCTGGATCCTCATTTTACCGACCTCAGAAGGATGGGAGGCTGAGTCAACCTCGAGTCGGTCCGGGATCGAACTGCTGGCAGTGGGCAGAATTACCCTGCAATACTGCATTCTAACCACTGCGCCACCAGGGCTCGACAGAATTCTACAGAATCTTCTGTATTGTGATGTGAGCCCTTCTCCAATATTTCTTTTCTCTTTCTCTGCCTTTCTCACATTCTCACCTCTTCCCCGCAGCCAAGCGTGAGCCAGTGGCTCCCGAACCGCCCCCCAAACCTGCCTTATCCGAGGAAGAGCTGGAGAAGAAGGCCAAGGCCATCACTGAGGAATACCTACACATCAATGATATGAAGGTTTGTTTTGGGCTGTGATAGGAGGAACCTAAAGTAAAACCCGAAGTAGGTTTTTGGCAATGGAAATGGCGATTCAGGAGCTGTGGCATTTGGGAGAATGTGAGGGCCACAGGTCCTTGGATAAATGATGAGCTAGCACAGTGGTGGTGAGCCTATGGCACGCTTGCCAGAGGCGGCACTGAGAGCCCTCTCTGTGGACACGCGCGCCATGCCCCGGAGATGGCAACCGTCCGTCTTCAACCAGCCGCCTGCTAACTCGCTGAGGTCCCACATGGCCAGATGCATCCCAGCACCCATGCGCTCGCTGGCCTCTGTGTGCGGGGGCCGATGGTGTCAGGCAGCAGCCGCCCCGGCCCCTGCCTCGCCTTGCCCTGTGATAATGGCACCCACGCCTTGCCTCGCCTCACCCCGCAGGACGAGCCTCCTGCCCACTGCCCCACCTGCCAGAGACCCCCTGGATCTCCCCCAACCCTCCCCGGCCCCCACAGGCGTCCCTCCCCACGAGCAACATTGAGGTGATCATGCCCACCTTGGCCACACCCACCCAATCTGCCATGGCCACCACAGCCACGCCCATCCAGGGGGCCACACCCACCTGGCACCCGGCGATAAATAGGTGGGCTTTGGGGTTGCAGTTTGGGCACTCGGTCTCCAAAAGGTTCGCCATCACTGAGCTAGCACCTGCTAAGTCCGGCAGAGGAAATTCAGAGGCGTTTCAGAATGTGTTTTTTTTTTAAATTTTATTTTACTCTGCCTTAGGAAGACTTGGAATTTCAGGTTTTCCTATCAGTGTAAACCACAAGCGAAACCAGCTCCGGATTTGCTTCTTTGCTTCTGACTCCGGAGCAAGCAGCAAACAAACTAAGCAAGCGAAACCTCTGCCTGATTGAAAATATTGTGGGTAATGTGAAGAACAGGCCTATTAATTCAAAACGTTCCAGTGGATTTAACAGGAAAATAGGCCGTTTGATTTAAGCCAGCGGTTCTCAACCTATGGGTCGCGACCCCATTTGGGGTCATCGACCATTTCACAGGGGTCGCCAAGCAAGGCTGTCCGCCATTTTTTTCCCCTTTTCCGGCGGGTGCCTTACCTCCCTTGAGCTGGGCCAGCTGGTGGTCGGCCTGCTCCGTCTCTGCCGCTTGCCAGCTACGCCTTGGCCGGCGCAGAGGGCGGAACCACGCATGCGCGGCGCTCCCGGGCAGGGAAAGTCCTCGACTTACGACCGGTTGGGTAGTCCTCGACTTACAACTGGTTTAGTCCTCGACTTACGACCGGTTTAGTCCTCGACTTACGACCGGTTGGGTAGTCCTCGACTTACAACCGGTTTAGTCCTCGACTTACGACCGGTTTAGTCCTCGACTTACGATCGGTTGGGGGTCGCGGCATTAAAAAGGTTGAGAACCACTGATTTAAGCAATGTGTTAATTGACTGATGACCCCCCCCCCCCAGTGGTAGCCAGTGTGCTATTGTGAATAGAACCATTGAACTAAGGACATTTGGATCCTAGGTCAAATCCTTTTTCCTTCTTGAAGTTTATCTTCAGTTATCATTATACATTAGGTGGATTTCAACAACACATTTAATCTGGTTTCCCAATGAACTTAATTTTCCGGGTTTATGCAAAACATTGGTTGGCGTTCATACGACACTTCCAAGCCCGAGTGAACAAAACACAGCAGGCTATGCCCAAATGAGTTATACAGGTAGTTCTTGAATTAACAACCGTTTGTTTAGTGACTGTTGGTTACAACAGCACCGAACAAACTGGCATATTGCAGCAATCCCCATGGTTCGCGCGATCCAAAATTGAATGCTTGGCAACTGGTTCCTATTTATGACGAGGTCCACGTGATCCCCTTTTGGGACCTTCTGAGAAGCAAAAGTCAACGGGGAAGCCAGATTCGACTAACATCCGTGTTACTGACTTAACGACGGCAGTGATCCCCTTCACAGCTGGAGAAAGAAAGCTCATTAAAATGGAGCAAAGCTCACTTAAAAAACACTCTTGCATAGCGACAGAAATTTTGGGCTCAATTGTGGCCGGAAGTCAACGACTATTTGCATTATGGTTTATTATGATGGCCTTCCTCACTCATCACAATGGCCGGGTCATGGCTTTAGGTTAGACCACAGACAAAGCATTTTAATTTTAATGAAGCATATTGTGCATACGTGCTAGCGTAGAGCAGGGGTGTCAAACTCAATTTCATTGAGGGCCGCATCAGCATTGTGGTTGCCCTCGGGGTGTGTGTGTGTGTGGCCAGGGTGGGTGCGGCCTACTGGGTGGGCGTGGATGGAGTGGGTGTGGCCTACTGGGTGGGCGTGGCCAGCTCTACATCGGTCGCGTCAAGGGTGCCTGAGGGGGCCTGGGCAGGAGTGGGACAGATCTGGGGGTCTCTGGCAGAAGGGGGGGGGACCGGGGCAAGCGCCAAGGCATGGTCCATTTCTTCATTCCTCACAAAGGGTGACCCCTCCCCAGCATGCACCCAGGGGGCGGGGCCGATGCGGCAGGGGCTGGTTCCTCACTGTTTCCAGACGGCCTTGTGGAGCCAAGACTGAATGCGTTTCAGCATAGATGGCCACCACAAAATTGTACATTGGCTCCCGGCCAGCCTGGGCCAGGGCCAAGGCAGCGAGGGCCATTCCCTCACTGTTTCCAGGATGGCTTCGCGGACCACATGAAACCATTTCATGGGCCGCATCCGGCCCCCGGGCCTTGTGTTTGACATGTCTGGCGTAGAGTCTTTTCTTTATTGTTCACACACAACACTCCAAACCCAAGTTAGCAAAACACAACAAACTCTGCCTGGTAGCAATAACACTTAGATTTATATACCGCTTCACGGTGCTTTACAGCCCTCTCTAAGCAGTTTACACAGTCAGCATATTGGGGGCCCCCCCAGCAATCTGGGTTTTCAATTTACAGACCTCAAGAAGGATAAAAGGTTGAGTAAACTTTGTGCTGGTGAGAATTGAACTGCTGAACTACTGGCAGCCAGCAGTCAGCAGAAATGGCCTGCAGTACTTCATTATAACCACTGCACCACCACGGCTCTTCCTGGTAGCGCCTTACTCGCCTTCCATAGTTCCAGGGTGGTCTGTGGTAGCTGCTTGTTAGGAGGGAGCAGATCGGGTTTCGCTGACCTAATCAAGGAGAGAAGCAACCTAGAACTAAGGAGAAATTTCCTATCAGTAGAAACAATCAATCAATGGAACGGCTTGCCTCCAGAAGTTGTGGGTGCTCCATCACTGGAGGCTTTTCAGAAGAGAATGGACAGCCACTTGTCAGGAATGGTTTAGGACAGGGGTCCGATGTAGAGCTGGCCCTTTTATGATTTTGTGTACATCAGCTCCCAGAATTCCTCAGCCAGCGTGTCTGGCTGAGGAATTCTGGGAGTTGAAATCCACAAATCATAAAAGGGCCAAGTTTGAAGACCCTTGGTGTAGGATCTCCTGCTTGTGCAGGAGGTTGGAGTAGAAGACCTCCAGCCCTGTTATTCTGTCCTGATCTTGGTCTGTTGGTGTCATCTGCAGCAGGGTCTAAAGCCTCTCCCCCCCACCCCTCACCCACTTTCTCTTTCCAGGAAGCTCTGCAGTGTGTACAGGAACTGGGTTGTCCAACTCAGCTCTACATCTTTGTCCGGAATGGCATCGAGTCCACGTTAGAGCGAAGCACCATCGCTCGCGAGCACATGGGGCTGCTGCTCTACCACTTGGTCAAGGCAGACCACCTCCCCAAGGAGCAGTACTACAAAGGGTAATGGGGCCTGCCCCCCCTCTCTCTATCTCCCTCCCTCCCTCTCTCTCTCTCACTCACTCACTCACTCTCTCACTCTCTCCAGGAAGAGCTGGGGAAGGGTTGCCAGAGGGTTAGGAAGCAGGACGTCGCGCGGGCAGGAGTCCTAGAGCTGGTAGGATCCTCACCCCTGCCTTTTGACTTCCAGACTGCATGAGATCCTGGAGATCGGGGAAGACATGGAGATCGATATACCCCATATATGGCTGTACTTGGCAGAGATTATCACTCCCATTTTGAGAGAAGGCGGGATTTCCATGGAGGAGCTCTTCAGGTAAGCTGAGCGACACCCCTGCGTAGTTTGTCCCAGAGGGGCTTTTCCAAAAGGCAACTGGAATTCCTTCCTTGTTTTTTTTTTTCCTCTCAAAAACATTTCGCTTCTCACCCAAGAGGCTTCTTCACCTCTAACTGAATGGTGGAGGAATTCTTATATCTATCTATCTATCTATCTATCTATCTATCTATCTATCTATCTATCTATCTATCTATCTATCTATCTATCTATCATCTATCTATCTATCTATCTATCTATCTATCTATCTATCTATCTATCTATCTATCTATCTATCTATAGTGATAGATAGATAGATAGATAGATAGATAGATAGATAGATAGATAGATAGATAGATAGATAGATAGATAGATAGATAGATAGATAGAGATATATATATTATCCTCCTTCCGTTATATATTCAAGATGGACAGTATTTAATATTTATTTGTTATGTATATGTAGGTGTGGGTCTATACATATGTTGTACATAGTATGTTTTAGGTGTGTATCATGTATGTGTTTCACTTTGAGAGCAGGCAACTAAATTTCATTTTTGATGTGTGTCCATTGTGCCCACGGTAAAAACAACAACAACAATAAAGGTTATCTTATCTTTATTAGTTTTTAATAGAATTAGGAATAGGGTGGAATCGGGATTAGGGTTAGGATTTTTTAAAATAACATTCTTAATATTTAGCAAACAGCATGTTGTCTGGGTTCATGTATTTAAAAAAAACTATGAATGATAATATGTTAATTAATCGCTCGATAGTCTTCATCTTACTAGTATATATTCAGTGTTACATATCACATTCCTTTCTCTCTAACTCGTTTTTCTAGCCATTGATAAACATTATCCCATGTTCTAAAATACACTGTGAATCTTCTTTCTCTTTTATCTTTAAGGTCATGTCTGCACACACTAAAATTTTCTTAATTAATTCTTCTTCAATTGGTAAATTTTCATTTTTCCAATGCTGGGCAAATACAATTCTTGCTGCCGTTAGTACATGCAAAATAAAATATATACAGTCTTTCTCATACCTCGCTCCTATTATTTCTAACAAAAACGAAGCGAAACATTTCCAAAGAAAAAGAAACGACGGGGAAGTCCAGCTGCCTTTTGGAAAAGCACCTCTGGGATAACCGGGACCTGGATGCTGGAGAATCTCCATAGACACACCCGCGTTCTCTGCTGCTGTATCCTGTTCTGTTGCCTGACCTCCTTCCCCACCCCCTCTGCTTTTTTTTTTCCAGGGAGATCGCCAAGCCCCTAGTCCCTATTGGCAAGGCCACGACTCTATTGGTGGAGATCCTGGGCCTGCTTTGCAAAGGCATGGTATGTTCTGCAAGCAGCCCATCTGCTTATGGGCCTCTGTGAAGGATTGAGAAGACTTGACTATTGTGGGTCATGTGTTCGCTTAGCACCGTCTTGTGCCCCTGCCTTTGTTGGTTACCTTTGTTGGTTCTAGGACAGGGGTCCTCAAACGTGGCCGCTTTAAGACTTGTGGACTTCAACTCCCAGAATTCCCCAGCCAGCATGGCTAGCTGGGGAATTCTGGGAGTTGAAGTCCACAAGTCTTAAAGTGGCCACGTTTGAGGACCCCTGTCCTAGGAGAAGCCTGTTCAGATAAATCAGCCTCTATGACAGTGGTTCTCAACCTTTTTAATGCCGCGACCCCAACCGGTTGTAAGTCGAGGACTAAACCGGTCGTAAGTCGAGGACTAAACCGGTCGTAAGTCGAGGACTAAACCGGTCGTAAGTCGAGGACTAAATGGTCATAAGTCGAGGACTGCCCAACTTGTCGTAAGTCGAGGACTTTCCCTGCCTGGGAGCGCCGCGCATGCGTGGTTCCGCCCCCTGCGCCGGCCGAGGCATAGCTGGCAAGCGGCAGAGACGGAGCAGGCCGACCACCAGCTGGCCCAGCCAAAAAAGGGGGGAAAAATGGCAGACAAAAAAAATGGCGGACAAAAAAAATGGCGGACAGCCTTGCTTGGCGACCCCCATGAAATGGTCGATCGACCCCAAATGGGGTCCCGACCCACAGGTTGAGAACCACTGCTCTATGAGGCCCTGTCTTTCACAGCTTTTGGTTCACTTGACCCAAAATGACATCTAACACAACCTTTCACTCTCCTTCCACCTCTGAAGAAGAGCTGGGAGCTTGGGGCAGGTCGTTTGGTGGAGAGCAGGGATGACGGACAGGTCGTCCTTGACTTTAGGACCGCAATTGGGATCAGAATTTTGTGTGGATCACCAAGGTGGCGGTTAAACGAATCGCAAAGTTGTGGAGCAAATTCAGCTTCCCCCATTGACTTTTGCTTGTTGAAAGCCGGGTGGGAAGGTGACAGATGGCAATCACAGGATGCTGGGAATCTGCAACCATCGTGAATATGTGCCGGTTGCCGAGCACCTGGTCACGTGACTGGGGGGGGCTGCAGTGGTCATAAGAGGGAGGATTGCTATAAGTCACTTCCTTCAGTGCCATTATGGCGTTAAGGAGTCGTTAAACAAATGGTTGTACATCAAGAACTTCCTGTATTCTATCTGAACTTCTAGAATTAAGAGGACAAACCCACCCATGATACTTTTAGGCTTGAGATATACCGTGTTTCCCCGAAAATAAGACCAGGTCTTTTTTTTTTTTTTGCCTCCAAAAGAGGCACCAGGTTTTATTTTCCAGGTAGGCCTTACCTCACCTCCGGCACCGACAGCCCCACCCAGCCGGTCCACTTCTTCTGGGGCCGAACTTCTGCAGCTGCATTCGGGCCTGCATTTTGCAGTCAGGCCTTTCCAGAAGGCCTAAGCAGCCGAGTAACGGGCTATGGATTCAATCCATTGCTTGGTGCTCGGCTGCTGAGATCTTGCAGAACCGAGGTACGGATTGAATCCATAGCTTGGTTCTTGGCCGCACAGGCCTTCCGGAAAGCCCCGTGACTGAGAAATGCAGGCCTGGCTGCAGAAGAGGCCTCAGAAGAAGAAGCGGGCCGGCAAGGAGAGGTCTGGATGCAAGATAAGTGGGTGCGGGGCGGGTGGGGCAGCTTCACACCCCCACCCCACCCCAGCTTGATTTTTAGGTGTGCCTCGCCCCAGAACTAGGGCTTATTTTTGGGATAGGGCTTATATTCGGCCCACCCCCCAAAATCAAGCTAGGGCTTATTGTTGGTGTAGGCCAGGGGTAGGCAACCTTGGCTCTTTTATGACTCGTGGACTTCAACTCCCAGAATTCCTGAGCCAGCATGGCCCTTGATACCGGGGAAGTACTGAGCACCTGAAGTTGAGGGTCTTAAGGACTCGGTCGTACCCCCTTGATACCGGGGAAGTACTGAGCACCTGAAGTTGAGGGTCTTAAGGACTCGGTCGTACCGAGTCGAACCTTTGGAGAGGGAAAGGGGAGTGCATGGCTGGCTCAGGAATTCTGGGAGTTGAAGTCCACAAGTCAATAAAAGAGCCAAGGTTGCCTACCCCTGGTGTAGGCCTTACTTTCGGGGAAACACGGTAGATGCTGTTTTGAGTCTATGCCCCTAACACACGACACGGCACCTATGGTGTCCCTTTCCGTGTAGGCTTCATGACAAAGCAGGAGGACAGCTGTCCTTTCATTGAGGTTGTATGCAGAACGGTGCAAAGATTGTCTCTCTTCCCCGTAGAGCCACAAGAAGGCAGGAACATTATGGAGAGAAGGTGGACTGAGTTGGAAAGAGTTCCTGCCGGAGAACCAGGATATCAATAAGTTCATCACAGAGCAGGTAAGGAGGAAGTGCTGGGTAGTAAGGTTGGTGATAAAGTATCCAAAACGACAGAAAATTAAGATTAAAACTGCTTTAAGCCTTCTGTTTCCTCATTGCTCACCTGATCTAGGGTAAAGTCCAGCAATATTATTCCCATAGGAAGCTTATGGGTCTCTGACAAGGAAGACACAAACGCTTTTACTACTTTTGTGAAAAACAGCATTGTTTTGGTCTAGTACACGGATCTTCAAACTTGGCCCTTTTATGACTTGTGGACCTCAACTCCCAGAGTGCCTCAGCCAGCGTGCCTGGCTGAGGAATTCTGGGACTTGAAGTCCACAAGTCATAAAGGGGCCAAGTTTAAAGACCCCTGGTCTAGTAGTAGCAATAGGAATAAATAGCTTTTAGACGTATATACTGCTCCATAACACTTTACAGCATCTCTTGGTTTAATGACTTTTATTGTTTTATCAATATATATAGTATTAGCTAAAGTGTTGGATCAGGAGAGAGAGTGAGAGTGAATGAGAATCACATGAGAGGGAGGGAGGGAGAGGAGAGAGAGAATCACCATGGGTGGTATATTTAATTATATTTATTACTAGCTGTACCCAGCCACGCGTTGCTGTGGCTCAGTCTGGTAAAAGCGTGTGTTGCTTTTACGTCCAACAGATGGCGCTGATTTTAAAAAAAAACCATGTTTTTACCTGTCACAGGTGTGACATCTATATAATATGGGTATATAAAAACACGCGCGTATTCGAATGCAACGTTGTGTCAAAATTTCAAAGCAATCGGTGAAGAACTTTCGGAGATTTAGGATTTTGAACAAACAAACATTTACATTTTTATTTATATAGATGATTGAACAAGAGGTAGGAGTATAAATCTAAGCCTGATGCAGCAATTGGGCGGTTCTGGGCACATTTTCACTTGCCCACGTGCCCTTCTCTTTGCAAGCTGCCGTGGCTTCTGGGTGCTAATTAGAGTGCTGGCTGCCATCTTAGAAACCCCTGCCTGGGCACTGAGCCAGGTTGCTTGCAGGACTGCCTGTCTGCAGTTGTTTCTACCAGCTCTGGCAGTGTGCATACCCTTTGGGGCACCGTCGATTAAGCAGTGTCGTTCCCAGGAGGCATGTGTCATCTCTGCTGTAGCGCATTCCCTCTGGAACAGCCGCCCCTTTGAGATTAAGACAGCTTTGCTCTGTTCGCTTACTGGAAGGCTTGGAAGAACGAGATTTCTCCCGCTTCTGAGCCAAGCGTTAGTGGGTCCACAATGTATTTCTTTTAAATTACGCGCTATGAGCAATTTTTGCTTGGAGGTTGAGTTGCATTGCATGGTGTTTATTCTGTTTTCCTTTACTTTGTTTTAGGTACAGTATTGTTAGCTGGCCAGAGTTAGCTAGCTTGAGATGGCTGGCCTTGTAAACTCTAGGGATGGGTGGAAAAATAAAAGTAAATGCATTTGTATAAACCCCGCAAAGGGTATTGAGATGCATTCGGTTTTCAATACTGGCGGTAATATCTAGCCTCATTTTCCCACGAGTTTATTTACACAGACCCCTCCCCGTTGTAAAACCGTCCAGATTTGAGGTGGGGAGGGAGCCTTGCTTCATTGTGGAAGAACTTCCGTAGCTGAACTCTGCACATGGATCAGTTTTAAATTGCTGGCTGTTAAGGTCCTTTTTTTTTTGCAAGTGAATTTTCCTTTTCTTCAGACAAATGTGTAACTTTCTACATCACTTGCCTGGCCCCTGTGCCTGGTTCACCATGGTTGACGCTGGCATTTATTTATTATTTGTTAAATTTATTCGCAACCTGTGTCGTTGTCATGTGACATTGCATTGTAAGTACAGCGGCCATGCTTTTCTTTAATGCCGTCGGCATGGTTTTGTTTTAAATGTTCAATTCTTGGCTTCCATTAAGGAAGTTGACTCTTTTGGGGAGGTCTGTCTGGTCCAGGGGTGGGGAACCTTGGCTCTTTTATGACTCGTGGACTTCAACTCCCAGAATCCCTGAGCCAACCATGCTGAGGGGAAAGGGAGAGGTTTCCAAGCTGAGCCATGCTGGCTCAGGAATTCTGGGAGTTGAAGTCCACAAGTCATGAAGGGGCCATAGTTCCCCCATGCTGGCTCAGGAATTCTGGGAGTTGAAGTCCACGAGTCATGAAGGGGCCATAGTTCCCCCATGCTGGCTCAGGAATTCTGGGAGTTGAAGTCCACGAGTCATGAAGGGGCCATAGTTCCCCCATGCTGGCTCAGGAATTCTGGGAGTTGAAGTC